TCCATGGAAGCTATGTTTATAGTTTATGGGTTTACAGAATTATTTAGTGTATTCTTAGCCACCTGTGTCCCTACATCTCTAGAAGTCACACATATTCATGGAGCTTGGTTACACAGCTCTTTTTACTGAGCTACTACGAATGAGTCAAAGAATAGCATGTAGAAAACTTAACCCCAAGAGCTTTCAAGAATATTTTAACAATCAGGCAAATATTATTGACCTTAGATTGTCTCGTATTCCTTAAATATAAATATATACCAGTATCCTGAGGAACAACTCAATCTTCTGTTCCTATGAACAAAGTTATTACAGTTAACTTCAATATTACTCATTGTAAGAGTGATGTATAAACACCACCTCCTTACAATATACTTGTCTTGTAGACAGTTACTGAGAAAAATTTAACAATTAATACTGTAGTGGCAACGACTGAAAAACCTACAAGTCATACAAGAAATATATGATGAATCAGAGTTCCTAAATTTCAAGTCTCTTATTTCCAAACCATTTAAGTCATCTTAATGTTCTTGTTCCTCTAACTCACAGAATTTGTTACTTCTTCTGTATTTTCTACTTTTGCAAACGATGAAACAATTTCTGCGCGAAGATTTGTATGCCACAAAAATACCTTTGAATTCATGTTAAAAATTGATTATCAGACATTTTACTAGGTACCAAGATAGCTACAGAGTATCCCTGACACAACCTAATTATTTTCTTGCAAAGAACAATAGCAAAGTTGTTATCTGTGCTGTGTAACCAAGCTCTCAATTAGCTTAAAGGTGTCATTTACAAATTAAATTGTTATAATTAGTTTCCATACAAAAGTCTGTAAAGATAGTTGATTTCCTAAAATTAGTTCTCACATAGATGTCAAGGGACTATGTTGAGAAAAATAACACTACTACCAAAAAAAATAATTATTATAGTAATAACATTAATAATAACTGTGTATATTACTGCTTAGCCACCCTCAAGAGCTAACATGACTCACCAAATGGCTCTTATGCATAATTTTAAAACTTCCTTTAAAATCGTTCAAAATCTTAAACGGTTGATGGTAACTTATATCCTTGTTGCAAAGACTGCAATTACCTGTTAGAAGTTTTTAACATTAAGTCTCATTTAATATTAAAATAATTATAATAGATGAAATTACTATCTCTACAGACTTGTCAAATGACTCTTGCCCAACCAATATATTGTGGAAGTACAAGGTTGTTAGTTACCAACTTTAATCAACCAGTCCCTCAAGTAACACAACACACTTTTCCACAACAATCAAAATTTACCAATAATAATAATTGCTATCATTTTATATATGAATACAAGATATTTTAATGGTAAAACCATTATTACAATCACCAACACTGATCACCTGGTTTGCAACTTTAACACCAGAGTGATATTATTAACTATTTACAATTTGGTAAATGTGAAATAATTTATAATGATTAACAGAAATTTTGTACCAAAGACCCAGATATAAAAATTATAATTTGAAATTTTCAATAATTTTTTTTGTATAAAACTCTTCTCCATGATATTATTCACGTCACCTACCATCACTCCTTGGGTTTCACCAAAAGGCAATTTAATCTAGGGGTGCATCAACATTTTGAGAAATATAAAGTCCCTTTGAAACTGAAGATACCCAAACTACAAAAGACAGTTGTTTATGAATACAATTATAGTTTTAGAAGGATATCTTATTTCATATTGAAAACCAGTTGTTTTTAAAACACATGGAAAATATTATTTTCAAAAAAGAAACATGAAGATGCACCCTGGTACATAATTTTAGGACCCAAAACAAATGACATATATAACAAACATTCCCACCACTGGTCAGAAAAATAAAACAACTTAAACTCTGTGGCACTAATATTTGTTATTAGCTATAATATTAATTTAAGACTCTGTGAATGTATGGCGCGGGGCCACAGGAGATCCCTGACCACTGGCTCCACTCTTGTCACCATTTCCATCTTGATCACTTCCAACTACCTCTTGATCACTGAACAAGGGGTTAACAACTGTCATATCACCAGTCTGAAAACAAAAGTTTGCATTATTAATTATGCATTGTATCTCCTTTCAGGGATAATCCTTCAGTTTTAAAAAGAAATACTTGACTGTTGATGGCTTTATTCTCTAATCTGAGTACATGTAGGTCACTATGTAACACTGTCAGTGTAATCTTACCGGAGCCAGCCCATGACACTCGTACACAGTATAATCCTCATCATCTCCTTCGTCACTGTTATCATCATCATCAAGAGTTTCCCCTTTGATGCCACCCTTCACACCACTAGCTCTGATTTAAAAAAAAAAAAGGAAATAAAAACAATGACCTGTCATTGGAAGTGACATTAAGAATGGAGGATAAACATGTCAAAATCATTGTTTTTAGAAACTCTTGGGTCATTGTTAAGACTTCATTCCCCTGACAGCACTCCTTCAGACTCAGGGGTAATTTACTAAACTATAGGGAACAAAGTTATCACTACAAAGGACTGGACATATTTTTTTTTTAAATGATAAACTAGTGAGCAGTACAGCACAAACTAAAATAGTATTAAATCTGTGACCTCCAAACACGTTACTGCTTGCACATGTAACATCCGAAAAATGTCACGCAAGTAAAACATCTTTGTAACACCTTGTGGATACTTTTCTGCTTGCATCTCACTACACATAAAGGTTGAAAATTGACACTGTATTTACTGTGTGTATACAAACAAGCTAATTTTTACTACTTGTAAAGACTTCCTGACAAAGTCTGCTAATATCAGATGAAACACATGGGAGAACAAGATAAGTTTTCATTATTCCAGTTCGCACAAAGCTGCTCACTAGTTTATCATTAACTGATCAAAAGTCTACCATAAACCTGAAGCCCACCTTTCACAAACACAAACTTGTAACCCAAATGAAATTATTTCAGACCACAGGGCATGAAATTCCACCTGATACAGGCACCAATGCAACTAAATTTTTCACTTTGACAACCAAATCCTGCAAATTAGTTGCCAAATTGGCAACTAGAATGCTTCATCATAACCTTGCCTAGAGATATAGTGAATTAAAAAGATTTGCAAAGATAAACCACAGCAAACTTCCTCATTAAGTTTATGTCCAAAACACCGCACATGCATCTTGGTCGATAACTAGATGCAATCTTTGGTTTAGGTGAACTTGAACACTGTATACCATCCATCCTAGAGTCCACTTTGTAGCACGTTAAAGATCTTTTTCCTAACTTAATTTTGGAGGGTCTGTCTAGAGCTGACAGTGTCAAAAAAGGGTTTTGTTTGTCTTTAAAAATGGTGACGAACTTTTTTTGAATTGGCTACCACTTTTAAAAATTTAGGAGCCAAGTGGCTATCAGGAAAAAAAATTAATTTCACACCCTGGACCATGAAACTCTAAAACAAAGAACTCCTCTAACAGTTCAATATTCTTCTCTTAAATATACAAGTAGGTTCTCCAAACCATTCATCTCTACCATCCATAAGTATTAACTACAGCAAACACCTCTCCAATTAATGAATGTCCTACTCTTAAACAATTAAAGACTTTTGTGATGCTGATATTGTTGCATGACATCATAAATAATTTTGTCAGCTAGTGAGGAATGTTCTTTGATCTAATTAAAATTCAGTGCCTTTAATAAAAGCCCTTACCACTGTATCAAATGTGTGTGGTGCTTAAATAATTAGTTAACAGAGTATTATCAATAATTAATAAGGTGAAAGCACTGATATCAAATTGAGTATAACAACATACTTTTCCAGGGCTGAAAGCTGACTCTTTGTCTGTTGGTAATGATATATTTCCGCACTGTAATCAAGTTTATGGTCACCCTAAAGGAATATACATGACAGGCAGTTAGTATAACAGTGCAAGTTCATTTTCAACTGGAAAAATGTTTGACTGCACATGTGATTAAGCTTTAACAACTATTTATCAACAAATCTGGCTCTGTTATGTATCTTGCCCTACTACATTGAGAAAAACAAATAATGAGTTTAACAACGTGTTTTTAAAGTTGTTCAGTTTTCCAAACATCAAAAACAATTATAGAAACAATAATAACAAAATCTCTTGTAGTGTTCATTTTATGTTGGTTTTGAGTAAGACAAGAGCTCAATTTAATGTCCATCTTTATTTCAAACAGAAGTCTACCCCTGAAACATTTCTTTTATGGTAAATATGGGTTATGTAATACAGGGTGCATTTTAACATGGGTTCTGCTTAATAAAGTTTTACTGTTTTTGAATCCTTAAAATAAAGAATCCTTTGCAACCAGTTATTTTAGCTCTGGAAAGAGTTATACCTGGGACACTTGACCACCCTGTTTTGTTGCACCATAACTTGAATATTCTGCTTCACTTACAGCTTTTGCAGTCGTGTGGAGCCTTATGAAAAAAATAATATCATAAAGGCTCAAAACTGCAGCTTAATACACACCCACACACATATACATATATATATATATATATGCACTCAATTCATGTGTCCTGAAAAAAATTTTGTAACATACACACTTTAAACCCATGGAAACCATGCATACATGTCATACCAGAGTCAAATGAAAAATTGTTTGAAAGCTGAACGTTACAAGTAAGGTTCATGAAAACTAGTAGGTTAGATTGTGGAAATAAACAGTAATTGATAATTCACAAATGTAAAATTTCATGCAGCATATTAAAAATCCTGCTCAAAAGTTCTGAAGCTTTGGTTACATGTAAGTTACATTTGTCTAATGGTGGGTTGGGCAATCGGCAAGGCAAGCATTAGACATCTGCTGAAAATAGTTAGTTTCTAGACAAAAAGATTTTTTAACAGTTGACAAGCCAATGAAAGTATTTAAATAAATAAATACCATACCACAGACATGCACAAACACACAAAACGAAATTCAAATACACAGGCTTACACCATTCAACTAAAAATCAAATCTTCACTTGAGTCTTCTGTTAGATGGCAACGTTCCTTCAAGTGTTATCAACCTTACTCATCACACTTATTGTCTAAATTTAAAGACAACAGTCTGACATTAACTCCTTTCAGAACTACTATCAACCCATGAGAAAGACTGACTCCTGCAATTTCCATATTCAAAGGAAAAAAAAAATATGAATGACAATAACATGATTTGATTTCACTTACTTGTACCAACAGTATCCTGCTAGTGCTAGTCCTGCAATGCCAGCCACACTACAACCAATAACTATAACTAAAATGACAAAAAGTTGAGGGTTAAAAGGTTAATTCTCTCTTCTCCTACTTGCTAAAAATAGCATGGTTATATGGCGAAACAAGGTTACACAACATTGCGATGGAAATATCCTTCCATTCAAAACAATTCCATTCAATCAGTCAAGATCAGCAATGTCGATAGCATAATGTTTGCAGATGGAAATAAGAGAAATGGTAAGTTATTGAGCGCAGTAAAGAAATAAAGAAAGATGTTTTTCATCTTGTCACAAGCGTGGGACAAAGAAAAAACTTTGAGTCCCCATGAGGAATCGAACCTCAGACCTTCAGATTCTGTGCTTCAGCACTCTACCACTGAGCCACAGAGACTCCACAGTGAGCGAGGTCTATTCTGAAGTTCATATGACACACATCCTACATACTGCTAGGATCAGCAATGTTGATAGCCTAATGTTTGTAGATGGAAATAAGAGAAATGGTAAGTTTTGAGCTTGGTAAAGAAATAAAGAAAAAGAAAGATGTTTTATTTTTTTTTTAGAATGAACAAAAACTATGCATTCTAACAAAACTCATTACAACCAAATTAAGGCTTCCAAATGTGTGTTCAATATGTCAAACCCTCCACAAGTTTTTGATTGATATCACCCATCCTAACTGCTAATCTTTCTTGGTAAACAAACAGTTCCATGTAAAGTTAAAAGGAAAGTATTAACATGCACTATTGTTTAACAAAAAAAAAGGTAGATATTTATAACAAGAAAAGGGTTTAACACAATGAAATCAATACAAGAAAGATTATTAATGTTGCATAGCTTCTCCACAAAGCATTAATAATTCAACCAGTACTAAATCTAAACATTTCTCGAGTGAAATCTCTGTTTATATAAATATATATTTATGGATACAGTTTAAAACAATATGTCCTGGCCATATGTTGACACAATTTAACACCCTGCACCATATTTTTTCACACTCAACTTGCAAAATGAAAATGTCTGCTTAAATTAGGAAGAAAGGATGAAATTTTGTAGAATTTGTTAGCATCCTCATTTACCTTATCTGTACATCAAGGAAAATAATATCCTAATGTTCCAATTTAGTATTTAACAATACTGATGTTCAAAGTTTACTTCTCTTTGTCATTAATTCAAAATTATTTCAATCTTCTTTCATTTTTTGCAATGGCATTTAAAAAGTATGTCTCTTTCACCCAAATTGAATTCCTTTTACCCTATTAACCTCATGACTTTTGATGGATGTAGCTTGTCACAGCCTTGCTATTTCCTTACACAACTATTTCCTGAAATATGATCATGGTAAAGTAAATGTTTACTTCCTCAAGGAATCTTAGCTCTCAGATGTAAATTTCTTCTTTAATAAATCCCAAAAATTTTACAATAACCATTATATACCTAAATCAGTGTCACAGAAATCTGAGAATCAGAGACCAAAACAGCTTGACAGCCAAGATATTGGTGATCCATGTTGCATCAAAAAAGGCCTCAAAATTGTAACATGTCTAAAAGTAGAAGACATAATATCGAGTAACGTCACTGTCGCTGAAAGGCGACCACGAAACGACGTAACAAGGAAGATGGTGACGGAATACAGTCCTCACTCTGAAAAGCCCTCGATCTTGCTTTTGTCGGAAGTATTTCACAGTCTGCTTTTTAACACGAACTCAAAAACGAACTATTTTCCACCAGAAAATCAAAACATGGAACACTTAATTTCTAAATATAAACTGTGCCCCACAGAGTAGAAAAATAGTGCCCTAAAGAAGGCTGTCGTAGTACCACTAACAATGGAGAGGAAATAATGTTTAAAAAGAGGAAGGGACTTACAATCTATGTCCAGGTCACAGAGTTCGCGAGGAAACGAAATGTAATTTCAGCGTTAAAGAGAGAACAATTCGTATTTGTAAAGAAGGAAGACACGTTCATCAGATAAGTTTCAGCTACACCACCAAAATAAAAAATAAACGGAAGTCATTGGTCTCTGAAACATTTTCGATGAAACATTTTGAAAGAAAAAAACATGGAGTTCAAGAAATTTCCCTCAATATTAGTCGTATTTTAGTTTAATTGATATATTGGAAGCCATTAATTTTTTACCTGATATACTGAAAAACCGAAAACAACATTAAAATAGAGTACATGCCCATCTAGTTCCGCCCACTGTGTCAAATATTGTGATTTTCCATTTAGGAAAAACTAGCTCCCGTTGAAAATGTACTGAGGGGAAATAATTTGATTTCGGCGTGGTAAAATAAAGCAGGAAAATACTCACATAAAAAATAAATGTCGTCTAACTCAGCTCTGGCTGGCGTGTTCTTCACTTTCAGGATGTAGGGTTGTGGCGGCATAGATGAGGAGTTCGAAGCTGGAACAGCAGTGAAAGGTGTCCCTGCGTTCAAAGATTCCAATTGAGCTGCTTCACCAACTTTTGCAGGTTCAGCCAACTTAATTTTGTCGACTTTGGCAACACTGTCCCTTGTGGCTTGATTTTGATCTGCAAGTCCATCCGAATCAATATTTAATCGCCCCTTCAGTTCATAATTTCTATTCAACCTGATATCATGCAGGTTTCGGCTCCCTCTGTCATTTTCCGTTGCTAACAAATCTTTTTCCTCGGCACTTGATAAAGTGGCCTCTGTCGGTATCTGTCCTCTGTTAGACTGATCGAAAACTTTCTGTAATTCAAGGCCGTCTGTGACATCTACTATGTCATGTTCCACACCTAGAAATAATCAAGATCATTCGTTATCAAAACGACAAACAACCGGTTCGAGATCATTACATTTAACAAAATGCATGAAATACCACATCAACTCGGGTCTAGAAAAGGTTCGGCGACACGTAATCCAAGGACTGACTAGGTTCTCTACAGCAGTCACTTTCTTTACTAAAAGGCGTCACAGAATCGTCTTTAGGAGGAGACTGCTCTAAAACAAAATAACTGTCTTCTGTTTTTGTGACGAAGACTCTCGCCATGTTTGAACTTCGCTTTCTTTTCGCGAAAGAATATTAGAAAAGGCGACGGAAAAAGTCCAGGTTCAAACCATTCTTCATTTTAAGCCATTCCCTTCAATTGCAGAATTCTCGTAACTGGTTAAAGGATCACAAAAAATCTTAACGGACCGTGCGCTACTTGATTGCTGAAATTTTAATATTTTTCGATTCAGTGGACCGTGGAATTAACACGGAAAAAAGACGTGTCGAGAAAAAATATATATTATCTACAACAAGGAGAAAAGTATACGAAAAATGAATGTGTAAGGCATTTTTTGACAAAATACCCAAATATCCTCTGGTGTGTAAATCAAATTCAAGCTGAAAAAGTTTCCAATGAATAATGTAAATGTAAACAGCCAACTCGCGCCCGTTTCGCTTCGAACAGATCGCCATCAAACATCACTTGTTTCCTGAATACGTCTAGGAAACACAATTCTTTAGCAAAATTAAGTTTTAAAAGACCCTGAAAACAAATTTTGAAAAAATCTCGATCGGAAATCAAAACTCGACGACAGAATTCCACTGTCAGAGAAAGCTTTGATACAAGACATGTTTAGGTTCCTCCATGCGAGTGGATCAGTCCATGTACCTGTAATCTTTCGAGTCGGTACCGGTTTTGGATACTACCGTAGGATAAAACAACCAGACCATCAAAGTGTACAGTACTTACCTCCTATATTTTGGTTACCCTGGAAGATTAAAAGGGAAAGAAAAAGAAGGACAGGGTAGGAATTCATCGCTATAATTTCAACCCACCATATTCAAACATTCGAATATATCGAACAGACCATTATTTCGAGAACTTCTGTGCTGCACGCGCAGAATTCTGGGCAATTTGCTAAATTAGCATGATTTATGCAAAGAGAAACGCAAGATAATTTTTCACTTTTTTTCTTCAACGAGTGGCCTGGTCGAAGGTTTTCGTCAGAAATTTTAAAAGAAGCGCATCCAAGATTGATTTCATATAAATTTTACTCTTTCGTTTGGCCTTAAAACACATTTAACTTTGAATGTGACAAATCAAGACAAGTCCCTATCGTCTTGTCGTGTATTTGCATGCGGAATTTTGTGTGCACGCAACCACGTCAAAAACAAAATATTACCCAATCACTTCAATAATTTGTCGGCTGTCAAAAGGACTTCGGATCACTCTGTGCCGTCCCGCGGATGTTTTATTTTATTTCTCTCCGTCAACGAAGAAAAATAACCTAATAGAAAGCGTGGCCGCTTTATTTTTAACTTCTGGCGAATATTCTAATGTAAAATGTTTTTTTTCTTTTTTAAAGCCCATTGTCTTTGAGACAATGTTTTGTGGACGCATTGTCCATTGAACATGTACAGAAATCAAACAATCAGTGAGTGAAATTTCAGCATGGTTTGTTAGTTTTCAGACAGTGATTCATCATAAAAGTGAGTATTGCGACCGAAAAGCGATTTTCAAAAACCCTTAAGTTTACTTTAGATTTTCTAAGGAACGTAAATCTGCGTGGTTACCTTGGAAACTAACGAGACAAACTGAAAGAATGGGGTAATTAGAAGTTAAGCAGCAGGGGGCTTCTTTTGTTCTCGAACTAGAATAATTAGCTGAAAGGAAAGCGGAAAAACAACACATTTATAATTAGCAAAAAATTCCGGTTTGTGATTTTTCGTTTGAGGACAGCTTCAACGTCCATCACTGACTTGCGTATAATTTATCTGGACTTTTGTTCCGACCCAGGTAATGATCTTTGATAAGATTGAAGGTGGTCTAAGCTTTGTGACACCTTTTCGCAGTTCTGCACATGATTGATACCCAAAGGAATCCGTGAAATAACATTTTTTCCACAGTGAGTAAACTAATCACCTTTTCCCCTAAGATCAACCACGGACCTTTTCATGGGAGGGTGGAGGGTAGGCCCTCCTAATTAATACTGCTTGGTCGGACTTCAACAAAGAGCACTGGCAATAGGCTAATATTAATCAAGTTTTGATTACGCCCTCCAATTTTAAATCTTAGGGCCGTCATCTCCTAATACGGCACTCACTTCGAAAGGAAAACCACCCATTTCAAGCTAAAAAGAGAGGCACATAAACAAAGGTTGTAAATTTGTCATCCAGCGGATAATACTAAACCAGCGGATACTATGTACGCTTTCAAAGTATGTGACACAAGTGTACTGCACGGGTGTGAATGAAGTTCTGTTATTTGAATGGTGGAATTATTCTAATTACTGTCACACCAAGATGAGATTCAACAAATTTATTGACAAATTAAATGACAAACATGAAACCTAACAGAGAAGAAGAGACCCCTGCCCTTTCACCCTTAGGATGGGTAGGGTGGGTTGTCAAAGCCTAACGCAATGAGATCGTCCAACAACTAAGAAACCTAAGACACATGTAGAGATCACATGATCAATCTGGCTAATGACTGTGCATACTTACATGCATTGACATAAATTAATACTACCCGTCCTAGAGGTGTTTTGCAAATATTTCAAATGAACGTATTAGCACTTGGATTTATTTGATTATGTCAGTGATTTCTTCTCTGAAAAGAAAATGAGCTTATTAGCGTCTTGAGTGCGATCTAAATCTTCCTCTTATAATCAGAGTTTCTTTCGAAAGTGGTTTTTTTGAGCCGAGGTCTTACTCACCAAATAAAGAGTGTATATATGAATACAAAACTGAATGATGCGGTATTCCTCTCTAGTTTGAATTTAAGAGTAACGTGACTATGGAAACTACAGATTGACTGAGGGCTGTTTTGACAGAAGGGTGTTTTTCGTATTTTAGACTTAACAGCTTTTAGGTCTGAAATTCAATCTTCCTATGTGCCACAACGATGGCAATTAACGCTCCGCCACCAGATTATATAGATATAGATATTCACATATATTAAAAGCTTTTATGGAAAGCGAGCTTTCACATTGAAGGAACTGCAGCTTTAGAAATGACTGATTTTCACACTACGCGATCTCAGTTTATGCCGTATGATTTTCTTGTACCGTTTTTCTTATAAATCGGCCAGAAAAAATCAGCAAAAAGCAAACTTCAAGTCAATCGGTGATTTGCGTCATTCAAACCGGAGACCGGAGATTATGTCTTCTTTTAGAACATATTTAAGTTGCGAAAGATAAAATGTTAATTTCTATCAATGAAAATATGATTTGCTCGTGGCAAAATGCGTTTTTATTAAAATCAGCGAAGGGTATCTCAGTAAACGTCTACTCAAAAAAAAATTCTAAAATCTCCCCTTAAAATCAGCTTTCTTTTCAGCTCGTTAATTTTGATCCAAGCAAACTTTGGAGAGAAAGAGCCAGTCACTACTCATGTTCATGTTTTTCGGAAGCAGAATTACTTCCATATCAGAAATTTAAGGGGTTCCAATTCAGCCGGGAATATTTTAAAACTTGTGCAATACTAAGGAGAACATATTTATTTATTCAGCTGGTTACAGAGGTAAGGAATATGGCAAAATATTATCTCTTCGCGACTGCATGCCCACGCAATCTTGTATGGAAAGAAATAATATACGTATAAATTGAACAAATATTTAGGAAGTGCTCATGTGTTCTGACGTCATTAAACCACAAACAAAATTGAGATGTCAGAGAAAAGTCTGTCCAAAAGGAAAGATGATTTCCGATGTGAAAGGGATTAGGGTTTACGTACAAAATCCATGTTTGGTCTCGTTTTATGTTATTTGATCAAGCCTCGTCATTTAAATCCGAGAAACATCGATAAAACAAATATTGATATCTGTTAGACATCGGTGAATGAATATTTCTCAATAACATGTTTTTTATTGTACTGATGGCGTAAAACTGATTCGATATCAAATCACAAAAAGTCTCAAGAAACGCTGAGATTTGACCAAATATCCCGTCTGAAATTCTGGAATATCGTTGTAACATCAATTAATCATTCGGCTATTTACTTCCAGGAGAAAGACTAAGGCGACGTCAAGCCTTAAATATGGCAGCTGTCGATATTACATAGGGTTCTTTCTAGAATTGGTCTAAATTCTAACAAATTTAATTATTTCTATCGCACGGAAACACAGCATGTTAATATGAATACGCGGCTTTTAACCAGTTTTACAATATGGAAAACAAATCTTCTCCATATCCCTTCTGTCTGAAAATATCATGTTGTGAAGAGTCTTTATATCTTTCGGTTAAAGCTTATGCCACATTGTTTAGTTAAAAAAATAATCTTTTTCCTATATCAATAGATTTTAGGGAAGTCCTCTCTAATAAATGTGTTAAATGAAACTGATCATCAGCAGTTGCAATTGAACTTTACGAATTCTTCACTGCAGGCAAGAACACAACCTCGTGCTCAGTTGCCACTGGTAAATTTAGACGACATGAAGAAAATAGAGGGCAGACGAAGGTGTAAATTAAAGGAGACTGGGGACTATTTTCCCCTGCTTAGTTCCCAGATCCCTTTACGGGAGCAAGGAACGCCTGATGCTATTTTGCTGCCATTAATTTACCGGGTTTATTCAGCAATATGCCATAATTTTCAGCCCATATCTTAAGACTTGTTTGATGGACGAAGAACATTTACAACAAAGCTTGGAACAGTATAAAGAACAAGTGAGTTTTCACCGTCTAAAAGAAGCAGCTTATTTACAGGGATAGCCGCACGACCCCTAAACAAACATCTTTTCACTGTAGTTCAGACTAATGTGCAAGTCTCTGTCGATCTTAGGGCTGGTTTTACTTAAGCTTATATTTCTTGCTCTTTTCTAGTTTATATGAGTTAAACTTATATTATCCATTACGGAATGGGTTTTATAAATTGACATATATTTGTGTGATCAGTTTCTCCAGATCCAGAATGTTTTGCAGAATGTAGGGGAAGAAGGTCAAGATGAACTTGTCAAGCTGAGGGACGATCTTGTAGAACTTATTCAAGTATCAGAAGGTGGGACATATTGCCTCCCTCTTTTTGGTAGACAAATTAGAAATCAGTATTTTTTTACTTGAATTGTGTCTAAGAATCGTCTTCAAGACCTTCTTTATTTAGATTCAGACAATTTCATTGAAGGCTAGCATTTACAAAAAGTAAGATATTAGGTGTCATTAACAAAGGTGTGGCCAGGATTTTTCAAAGGGGTGGTTATGCTGTGTCAAATGGAAGGTACTTACTAGATTGTTATGCTGACCTCCACACCATGTTTTATATAATGTGACAGAAAAAAGCTTACAAAGTGGGAGTCACGGGCACCCCAGGGGAAA